ATGGAAAATCACTATCTATTTTACAAAAGAATGAAATTCACATCAAACTATTTTTTTTTTATTTAAAAGACAGAATGGGAGAAGATATTTGCAAATGACATATCAGATAAAGGGCTAGTATCTAAAATCTATAAAGAATTTATCAAACTCAACACCCAAAGAACAAATGATCCAATCAAGAAATGGGTAGAAGACATGAACAGACATTTTTCCAAAGAAGACATCCAAATGGCCAACAGACACATGAAAAAGTGCTCAACATTGCTCGGCATCAGGGAAATCCAAATCTCAATGAGATACCACTTCACACCAGTCAGAACAGCTAAAATTAACAAGTCAGGAAACAACAGATGTTGGAGGGGATGCGGAGAGAGGGGAACCCTCCTACACTGTTGGTGGGAATGCAGGCTGGTGCAGCCACTCTGGAAAACAGTATGGAGGTTCCTCAAAAAGCTGAAAATAGAGCTACCGTATGACCCAGTAATTGCACTACTGGGTATTTACCCCAAAGATACAAATGTAGTGATCCGAAGGGGTACGTGCACCCCGATGTTTATAGCAGCAATGTCCACAATAGCCAAACTATGGAAAGAGCCAAGATGTCTATCAACAGATGAATGGATAAAGAAAATGTGGTACACACACACACACACACACACACACACACACTGGAATATTATGCAGCCATCAAATGGAATGAAATCTTGCCATTTGCAATGACATGGGTGGAACTGGAGGGTATTATGCTGAGCGAAATAAGTCAATCAGAGAAAGACATGTATCATATGGTCTCACTGATATGAGGAATTCTTAATCTCAGGAAATAAACTGAGGGTTGCTGGAGTGGTGGGGGTGGGAGGGATGGGGTGGCTGGGTGATAGACATTGGGGAGGGTATGTGCTATGGTGAGCGCTGTGAATTGTGCAAGACTGTTGAATCACAGAACTGTACCTCTGAAACAAATAATACATTATATGTTAAAAAAAAAGAAGATAGTAGGAAGGGAAAAATGAAGGGGGGGAAATTGGAGGGGGAGATGAACTATGAGAGACTATGGACTCTGAGAAACAAACTGAGGGTTCAAGAGGGGAGGGGGTGGGGGATCAGTTAGCCTGGTGATGGGTATTAAAGAGGGCACGTACTGAATGGAACACTGGTGTTATACGCAAACAATGAATCATGGAACACTACATCAAAAACTAATGATGTATGGTGATTAGCATAACATAATAAAATTTAAAAAACGTAAAAAATATAAATGACACTATTTTAAAACAGTAGTTTAGAAAGTGGGTATTACTATAAACACGTTAAATTTAAAATTCATGACTTGAGAATCTGTTAAATTTCAGGAGCTTGCTTTGAAAAGTATTATGCTATTGGTGATACATGAGTTAAAAAGCACATTTTGCATAACATGTGTGCAGACTGGTCCTCTAGTGACTTAAAGACTGAGGGTTGGAGAAGTTAAATGACTGATCCCACTCAGGGCTTCTAACTCTCAACTCCAGATTTTTTTCCTATATCATGCACCCCTCAGAGAAAAAAAAAAAAAACTGGTAGGAATTAACCTTTATTCATACTTACATGAATAATAGAATAGCTTTAAGTGATTGTACATAACAACATATATATATATGTACATATATATGGATATGTACATATGCTGTTTTTAAGTCTTATCACGTTACCAAATAAGGTAACGTGACTGGATGATAAAGGTTACCCAGAATTTGAGGGAAAAATGCTCTGGGACTGAGTATCAAGACATGATTCTGGAGTGAGGGACATTGTGGGAGAATGAGAAACTTAGAAGCCTCAATCTCCCTCAAAGAAAGAGGATATTTACAGGAATTAAACACAAAACATGAAAGAATAAAGGCATCATTGATTTGGAAGAGATAGGTTCAAAATCCCTTGCACTCATGTTGCAGATTTAGGCATGAAGACAAATATTCTTCTGCAGTGAGAGCCTGCATATAATCCTGAGCTTGTTTTCCTGGTCAACCCCTGACCAGAGCAGGTGGATTGTTGAATCCTTTAACATTACGACTTGGTCATAGAAAAATGAAATGGTTGAGGGAACGGGGATGCTGTCATATGGACTTGTTTTACCAGATACTCAAAAAACACATACATTTAACAAGTTCATGTGGATCATTTATAAATATTTTTAAAATAAATTGCAAAATTCATAAGGTCATTATGGGTGATGATGGTATTTTCATCTTCAGAAATAGCTGTATTTGTAGTTACATGGTATCTTATAAAGTTCCATGACTTTATTTGCAGAGAACACTATTGAGAATGCTGTTTTCAATTCTCTAATTTGTTGAGACACATGAAGCTCTTTCAGACTTTTAGAGTGAAGCATTATTGAGATTTTCTACACAATACAGGAAACCTAGATAAGAAGGTTTCCCTGTTAATCTGCATGGGTAGATGTGCTCTGTGAATGCCTTCTGCATTCCTAGTGCCCACCTTGTGAAAGCCACTAAACCATTCCTGAGGAAGAAGCAAAATGATCCAATTTGAGACTTTCTTAAGAATCTCTAAGAGAAAAATGTACTACTAGCGTGGCATGGTGATTCCGCGCAAGAATAGAGTGTTTTAACTTACAATCTTAAAACCATAGACTGTCAGGTTTGGAAGGGTTCTTTAAAGTACTTACCCAACCAGTCGAAGTTCCATTGTCCCTCACCTTGCTATAAGGTAGTCATTCAGTGTCTGTTTAAATATCTACAGTGACAGGAGTTCCATCACCTTTGGAGATAGTTTATAGGGGAACCACAATTACTGGGACTAGTTTGACCTCCTGAGGTTAGAAGGAGGCCAAACCCAGTGATATGAAGAGAGTGCCATGTCACATCACCTTGGAGTTAGTATTCCCATGAAAAATGCCCACTTTTCGATTAATTGTTTCTCCTGTGACAGTTCATGTTCCTTTCCCATCCTAGCCAATTGTGTCAGCAGTAGGAGAGGGAAGTTTACCACTTACCCACCCCTCTGCCAGCCTCCTGCACTTAAAGATGCACCCAGCAATAACTTTGTAGTTGCTTATTTCAATGTTTCCCCAAGTGGGTTCTGTGGGACATCGTTCTCACAAGCATACTATATGAAAAAAGTTTCAAAGGGCAAATACATTCAGGATATGTTGCAAATCTATATGCTTCTCATTGCAATTCACAATGAACAGGATCATACTAAAAGCTCTAGGAAGCCCTTGAGAAAAGAAACCTGTTTAACTTTCTATAGTTTAGTATTCCCCAAACTTCTTTGATCTTAGAACCCTTTTTCAAGTAACATCTGCTAGCATTTCTTTGAACCAACCGTTCTTTCAAAATGCATGTTGAGAAATGCTGGCCATAAATTTACTGAGATGTCAAATCATACAAGGAGGATGGAACAAATATTTGGTCAAGTACGTTTTTAGTAATAGGAGATGTCATGTAATAAGAAGAAAAGACAACATCATCACCACTGTATCATTGTTTTCTGCCTTTGCTGTCCCTGGTTTTGCCCAAGTCCTCCCCTTGGGGTCTCACAATTTTGCTCATTTGTCTTGTTCTATGCATGAGCATTACAGCCTCATACAAACTACAGGTCAGAGACCATTTATAAGAATTCTGTGGAGCCTTAAAACACCATAAATAAGACCACCACTATAATGTTCTTTTTAAAAGAAGGGCAATGGGTTGGGAAGAATTAGCCAGAGCAACTATTACAAGCATTCACTTTTCTTCATTATAAAGACAAGTGGTTATATGGCATGAAATTCCTTGCCAGACAAAAAAATAAAATGACCAAAACACTTGATGAATATTTAATAATTAAAGATAATTTATTCTCAAGTGGAGTTTACCAAAGAAGGTCCTAGAAACAGGTTTTTTTTCTTTTTCTTTTTCTTTGTTAAGCTAGATGCCAAGCTATGGGAGCAATATAAAATCTTAGCAAGCCACACCGAGAAGGAAAAAAAAAAAAGGTCTTGTTATTTAAACTATATTTTATAGGTAAATGCTTGGAATTGTGGCTTTCAGTTGATATTTCCTTGTTATGATTAGGTGGTATTTGCAACAAGGGTTTAATACTCTGACCTGTGTTTTATTACTTATCAGTAATTTTATAGCTAACGACCAAACTAAAGCAAAATCAGAAAATGGACACAATTATGGTAGAATTTACAGAGAATACAATTCATCTCCTCTGATAAGGCAATATAAAATCTCTCCATTGCTATAATGGGTCATTCTCAAATGGGGGTTCTCTAGATTGTTTGATTAGACAACATTTTAAGAATTAAGAGAAAACGCTCCTATAATGTGGTGGTTTTGTAACAAGAAAATAAGGTTTCCTTTTTTAAATCTCCTTTTTTGGACATGTGCCAATACTCTTCATAATGATAATTTGATAATTACTGTATTTCTAAGTTGAGGAAACTGGTAGAAAATAAAATATCCTTTGTTGGCAGTCAGTAAATGTTAAAAAAAAAAAAACCAACAACCCTGAAAACAGAATCAGCAGGGTTCTTCAGAATATAAAACTGAGAAAATGGAATTGACTGAGATGTTGCCCAACAATAATAATTTATGAATTGTAGTGTTATATATATATATATATATATATATATATATATATATATATATATATATATATAAAATTCACACACACACACATGCATGCACATACTCACACATATACAAGAACCATTTCCAAGAATGTGTATTAAAATTTGATAGGAGAAAAAAATAAATGGGGTCTTCCTTTATTTTATGGTCTTTAAAATTGGAAATCATAAGAAGTGATTTCACATAAAGTACTAAGAAAAGCAGATGAGAAGATCTCTGCATTTATTTCAGTGCTTTGACTATGAAACTAGCAGGTATTGATTAAAAGTTGTTATACTGATAGGCATTCAATAAATCATGTGGAATGCATTTGTATTTTTAGATTGAGGAATATGTCTGTAAAATTTCCTAAACATAAATACCATCTCATTACAGCCACCTGTGGTGTTCTGAGAGGGACAGGGTGGGCTTTTGAATCCCAGCTCTGCCCCTCATTAGCTGTGTGATCATAGGCGAGTTACAGACACCTCTGAGCGTCCACCATTGGTTATTGTATGCAAAACAGATGTAACAGCGGCATCCTCACTGGGCTGTGATCATGACTCATACAAGATTCCAGAGTGTCCTCCCTTTAGTAAGTATATAATAAATCTTGTATCTCTTTCCGTCTCCTTCTCTTTCTTCTTCTCCTCCTCCTCCTTCTTCCTCTTACCTTTCCTTTTCCTCCTCCATCCTCATTGTTATTAAACTCCCTGCTATTGACATCTCATTTAGAATTACCATATCTCAGCTCTCCATGGAATCAGACTTCACTAGGTCAAAGGCAAATGTGCCACAACTGCAGTTATCAAAAATAGAGTGACCTTGACAGAGTAATGAAAAGACGACACAAACGAGAACTGTGGTGCCTCAGTTCCCCAGACTTTTTCCTTCCATGAACTCCACGTTAAAATATGTCCAGCGATGCAATGGAAGGATTCCTAAGGAGGCTCCCAGAGCAGCTGGCTTGAGCACAAGGGTGGGAAGCGTGTCTCCATCTGGTCTGCACTGTCCCGGCTGAACTACCTGTCTCTAGCTTCTCTCCCCAGCTTCACCGCCCTCACAGGCAGCGCGGGTTGGGGAGTTGGGGGGGGAGGGGGGGTGGTGTGGAGTGAGGATTTAAGAATTCAGCAGCAAACGTTGAAGAAATTATGAGGATTCTGACATTTAAGAATTTCTTTTTGCAGTGCCTTATAATTTTTAAATGTCAGAGAGAATTGGAGTGGCTATTAAGTCAGATCCTAGCACAGAGTTAGGTCAGTTTTATTTTACTAAAACCGGCTTGTGTACGTCTTGTGAGTAAATACCGTACTCCAACGTGACCATCTCTTTTCCTCATCTGTAACTACTCTGTCATTGGTTTTAAGATTAAGGGCCACGATTTCAAAGATATAGCTATAAAAACAAAAGCAGAGTCACTTTATTGGCTATGGGTTTTGTTTTTGTTTTTGTTTGTCTATTAGGGCAATAAAACAAGAAAGAAGCTAACATGTTCGATGTGTTTCACATCCAAATAGTTCTATTATCAAAAGCCTCTTCAATAAGCAGCATAAGAGCACCCCATTCAGAGACCCCAGAGTCTCCTTTAGAGTAATATTGATATTTAGATTTTCTATAGAAATTAGGCTGTTAAATAGTGTTCTTTCAAAAGTAAACCCAAAGGAAAAAATCCACGAAATTACATTTTCACTTAATTTACTATCAATAAGAGGAAAGAGAGTTTTAAAATCTGTAACAAACACCAAGTTACTAAGTATGTGACCTGCTAGTAGGAAAGGGAAATTCTAGATGTACAACTGAATCTGCTCTTGAAGTTTCTCTGTGATCTTGTATGTACACAAATAATTTTTGAATGATTGCTTCCCCATCCTTAAGGTGTGGTCCGAAGGCCATATTCCTAATGAAATTTTCCAAGACTCCTCCAGAGGGGAGCATTTTCTTTCCACTCTGAATTTCCAAAATGTTTTTTTCTCTACTTCTCTTTTATTGCTTATTAGGTTTTACATTATGTTGTCATTATTTCCATATTAGCTTTTACATTATGTTGTCCTTATTTCCTATTTAAATGCCAGTCCAGGAAAGCAGAGCTTTTTGTCTTAATTATTTTTATATTCACCATACTGCCTTACATGAAATAAATACTCGTATTATTAAATATGTGAATGAAGGAATGAATGACTCCCCACTTGAAGTCTGTTACTTTGAGACTAACTGCCAAAGTGAGACATGCATACACACACACCCCTATACATGCACATTCAGTCAAGAGTGATCTCATTCTCTTTCACTCTCTTCCCATATTTCACTCATTAAGATGCTGAATGAAGCTCAGAGAAACCAAGTACTAAAAGAAGATACACAATATGTCCAAGAACGCTCGTGAAAGTGTTTTTCAACTGGAAGAAAACTTAAAGATTATATTGTTTGATACTTTTACTCTTTCCTCAACCATTTATGTATGCATGTACATATTTATGTATGTATATATGTATGTATGTGCTTATCTATTATTCTATTATTTTTAACCAAATAAGAGGCTCAGAAAGGAAAGTGATCAGTAAAGGCCATATCAGGACTTGCTGGCAAGAACTTGGACTAGAAGACTGTTCTCCCCGTCGCACATTATAGAGCCTGGAAATGGTATTGTTTCTGTGATACACGAACCCAGTAGTAGCTTTTCCATTTGGCTCAGCCAAACCAGTTCACGCACATTACATAGGAACTGGACCTGTCTGAGAATGCCCTATATGGATAGGTCTGGAAGATTTAGGGGAGACAACACATGTGTCTATGATGGCAAAAACCACTGAAAACATACAGCCTACTTTTTACCTTTATCTTAGTGTATCACTTTCCTCTTTTTATGAAAGAATCTTTCTAGATACCACTGCTTGCGGTTCTCACAACTATGAAAAAGATATGCATTCTCCCATTTCTTCTCCCACCTTTGATGAGGAAAGGGAGAGCTGTTTAAGTTTATAAACTGAATTGGAGACAGAACCAAGGTTTGAACCTAAACGTTTCAAGTCATAGCCTGCTGTCCTTCATTCTGCTGTCATCCCCTCATGTGTGTGGGATATCACATAAAGAACCTAGAAAACAAAAAAATAATTGTGTTTCTGTAGAAATGTTAACCATTGTCCTAATAAAATACTTTTCAACGGAGGAAATGAAAATATTTTTTGAACTTGCAATGTGTAGGCCCCGGTGGCTATGCTTTATAGGTCAGGGAAGTTAGAGAAGGCCCTTTTATTGTGTTCTTTTTCCATGCCGAGACTCAAGCCTAAACAGTTAGCCTATCTTTCTTTAGTGATCCTGTTTTTGTTGGCTAATTGAGTTTCATTTTTGATTTTATTCGATATGTCAGTAGCTTTTTATGCAAACAACAGCAACAAAATCAAACACAGAAATATAGTATGTGAATACCGGATAAACATGGTTGAGAGTTTGAGGTATCTTTCCAAACTTTTTATGTAATATAAAAGTACATTATCTAAACATGTCATATAGGGATATTTAAAAATTGAACTGTATGTGGGCACCTGGGTGGCTCAGTTGTTAAGCATCTGCCTTCGGCTCAGGTCATGATCCCAGAGTCCTGGGATTGAGCCCCGCATCGGGCTGCCTGCTCCGCGGGAAGCCTGCTTCTCCCTCTCCCACTCCCCCTGCTTGTGTTCCCTCTCTCACTGTGTCTCTCTCTGTCAAATAAATAAATAAAATCTTAAAAAAAAAAAAAATTGAACTGTATGTGTATCATTCTATAATTGCCTTTTTAACTTCACAGTATGATTTCTAAACTGCATTTAACCCTACTCCTAGTACAGATATTTAGCTTATTGGTCATTTTTTTGGTTTTGATTTTGTTTTGTTCCATTACTAGATGAATCTACTATGGGTATTCTGTCCCTTCCACATTTGTATGCCAATGTAGCTGTTTTCTTATGACAAAATCTTAGATGTAGAATAGCTGGGTCGTGCAGGGGAGGTTCCCCAACAGCACACTGTGACATGAAGGTTGCATTTAGGCATATTAGGAAGTGCCCATGGGGTCAATACCTGGGGAACGGAACGGAAGGGAAGAGGACTTTGAGAAGTTGGTGGCCATGCAGTCTCAGGGAAAGCCTCGGCTGACCCTATAGGGAAAATTTAAGCTGGGATGCCCTCTCAGAGTTGCCTTTAGCTGGACTGAGGTGGACGGTCCCAAAATTGATTAGTCACTGGATGTTGGCTGCCCAAGGAAGGAGGCCAGCCTGCCCTTGAGCAAGGTGGTTCTCTTCAGCCAGAGTGATTCCTGAAGACTGTTGACAGCTGAGGGCTGTCTGCCGGCAGCACGGCCAGCAGCTGGGGGAATGAGTCCGAAATTTCTGAAAGGGGGTCTGGGTGGTGCATCCCTGCACTGTGTCAAAGGCAATGCGCATGATACAAATTGATATATTTATAAATTGATAAATCGTACCAGATTACCATCCAAAAATTTGTTAAAATGCTCTAATTTCACCAGGAGTATATGAGAATGCTTGTTGCCCCAAATCCTTAACACTAACAACTGTCAGTCTTTATTATATTTGCCAATGTGATAGACAAAAAAATCCTCACTGTTGTTTTAATTTGCATTCATTTATTAGTGAGATTAATATCTTTTCATACATTTAAAGGCCATGCGTATTTCTTCTTTAGTGACTTGCCTGCTTATGCCTCTTTTGCCATTTTCTATTGTGCTCATCTTTATGCAGTAAGGATATTAACCATTTATTTGTCACATATGTTGCATGCATCTTCTGAGTTTGCAAACTGCTTTTTAATATGCTTTATATATCCTTCAATGTTGTCTTTCATATATTCAAATCTGTCCATATTTTCTTAGTTTCTACCCTCTATGGTAAGAATTCAAGATTATTCAAGATTATAAATATATCTTTACATACACTTGTCATACTTTGTGGTATATTGACTCCATTTGAATTTTTTAAATAAATATGTATAACATGATACTACAGTTGAAGTTTGTATTGAGGCATCAAGATATGATACCTTATTCTAAGCTATCTAGATGGGGCAGGCGAAACAATGCAGCTGTTACAATTTTATATTGTGATGGTTGCAGGACTCGTCAACCTCTCAATGATATCTAGGGTAGGTGAGGGTCAGGGGCTGCTGATTAAAGGAGTGGACATTGTTTAGATAAAGCTCTTCGAGTCCTGGGAATCTCACTATCAGCCTCAGCGGGAGGAGTGGCATGGTGGGGCTCCCTTCACTTTAAGGAGACCACTTAACTAGTTCAACTGTCCTCTGAAGTTTCAGGGCACAGTGGGTAGGTGTCTGATGCGGGATGGAGAACTGAAAGGACAAGTGACTAGCTTACTAGCTTCTTTGATGTTAGAATGAAGGGCAGATTGCTACTGAGTGGCTGATCTGCATTCCCAGAATTTCTTAGAACAGAGGTTTCTGAGTGTTTCCTATGATCAGAAGCTCCCCATCCCATGCCCCTCAACACAGAAGCATAGAACATGGGGTCGTCTTAGGTCTTGTCCCAAAGGGTCACTGATGAGGGCAAAGAGATATCAGCAGAACTCCGATTATATTTAAAGGAGAAAAAAGGAGACAAGACAAAGTTTATAATTGTAACCTATAAGCCTGCTTCTTCCACATAATAGTTACAGTAGCATGAGGCAAGGTTCTAATTTTTTTCATAAGTGTAGCCAGTTCTTCCAATATTATTTCTAAAACAATGTACCCTTTCATTCACGGATTTAAAAACCACTTTTAAAAAATATGTTAAATTTGAATATCTATTTACTTGTTCATGTATTCCACAATGTTCTAAAAACATACTCATTTTTCTGGGCGCCTGGGTGGCACAGTCTGTTAAGTGTCCAACTCTTGGTTTCAGCTCAGGTTGGGGTCTCAGAGTCGTGAGATCAACTCCCGTGTGGGGCTCTGCACCCAGTGGGGAGTTGGCTTAAGACACTCTCTCCCTACCCCCCTTTATCTTCCCTCTCTCCGTCTTTCAAATAAATAAATAAATCTTAAAAAAAAAAGAATATAATCATTCCTCTGCATTGTCATATTCTGTTAGTAAAATGAATTGATAAACTATTTCAGTATCTTGTTAGAGAAATTTATTATCATTTTGGTCTAAACATTTTTTTCTCTATGTTAGCATTTATGTTTTTAAATGAACAAAATAAACTCAATTAAGCAACCTTCCAAACTGTAGTTATTTTATTGGAATTCCAACAAATTTCCAGAGTGTTTTGGGGAGACATCTTTTATAAAATTTAGACTTCCCACCAAATACTTGGTATATCTTTATCTCCTTCAGTAACTATTTATGGCTTTTTTCCTATATATCCATACAATTCTTATTATATCCAATCCTAGATATCATATATTTTAACTATTATGATGAATTGGATCATTCATTCTCATACTTGTAAACATCATAGGATTATATATATAGTAAGTATAATATATATTATATATATAATTATATGTGCTGATAAATGCTTAATAGCTGACTCTCTGGAGGAGTAACAAAATCCCTGACTTTTAGAATTTGTAATTTTTCATGGTATCAGTATTTCTACCATTTTATTTCTTAAAATACCTATGGGCCTCCATGCCACCAGATGTGGAATTAGGAAAAGTATGCTGAATTTACTCCTGTGAGCTGTTATAAACCAATTCTAGTGTATCACTCTTCCTTACATCTTTTCTAGCCAAATAATACTTAAATGATTATAATCAACTGTGATGTTCAAAGTAAACTTTATAAATAAGAATTTAGAACCTAATAACTAGAATCTAAGGACCTAGAAATTAAAATGTAGAGAAAAATTAAGATATATTATCCTTAAATGTATTTGTTTCCTTGAATTCATTACTCATCACTACGCCTAGTATACATTAATTGGGGAAGCATTTATGGTGATTTATCTTGGCCTTCTTCATAGGGGCTCTTGATCTCATGGTTTTTCTTTTCCTGTTGGCACCTGGTCTACGGTTGGCCTTGTAGATGAGTGAAGTGCACTGCATTGCATGTGGGGGTCTACCATACTCGACAGGCTTGAAGTCTGCATTTGACCATGCAAGTTCTCTGTGCCAAGTAGACTTTGAGAGAAGTGACTTCAAGCATAGGGTTCTTGTGAAATTCTTAAAGTTTTCCATGTGTTCTTTGTTGGGGCAGCTCCCCAAAGTTTCCTCTGCATCTGCTGGTTGTATTTGCAAGTGCTTGTGCCGGGTCAGAGTTAAAATTCACAGTGGGAATGTTGTCGAAATTAACTGGACTTCTGAACTTTTTTTTTTTTTTTTTTTGCTTTCACTCATTTTTGTTGTGATGAACTAAATTTACCTATTAAGATGCTAGCCTCATTCTCTCATCTTTATCGCTCAATTAGGAGCCATCAATATTTACCTTAAATTAAATCTAAGGACAAATGCTGCATCCAGTTGTTTGGGACTCAACTGAATTTCATTCATCCATCATCTCTGCTTTCCTTCCCACTCTCCCAAATTGGAGTTATAGGTATTTTCCCAGCCACTATTTCATGCTTAAGGGTTTTCCAGGCCTTTTGGGGAATATAGTTCCCATTACTTTTGAAGTAGCTCCTTTCTTTGTCATATGAGTTTGCTAGGGCTGTTATAACAAACTACCACAGGCTTAATGACTTTAACAAGAAATGTATTTCCTCACAGTTCTGGAGACTGAGTCTCTCCTTGGCTTGTAGATGACCATTTTTTCTCTGTGTCTTCACATGGTCTTGTCTCTTTGTGTGTCCTCATTTTCTCTTCTTGTTAGAATGCCAGTCATACTGGATTGGGGTCCATCTAAATTATCTCATTTAAAGACCCTGTCTCTAAATATAGTCACATTCTGAGGACTAAGGGTTGAACTTTAACATATGACTTTTGGGGGGCACAATTCAACCCATAGCAACACCAGAACACCAGGGTTGACTTTTAAAATATTATGTATTAGTTGGCATTTTATTTCATCTCCTTATTTGATGATACCTAATCTGGTTTGCCATTCTTAATTCTGTCTTTCTTATTTTTATATTTTCTTGGACTTTTCAATAGGATATAGGGAAAGGGGGAAGATAAACACATGGACTCAAATTGCTATCTTTATTTTGAAATCTTCTGATGTTTTCCAGTGCCTGTGCAGGAAACAAAGAGACAAGAAAATATATCATCAGCGATTACTACTGTGGACACTTCTACCCTAACACCGAAGGGCATGAATCTTCAGTGAAGAATAAAACTGAAATGCTATCATATTTTGTATTCATTTGAATTGGTCCAAAATGTTTATAAACCACATTTTAAAGTTGTTGATTAAAGTATAATTAAACATTAGCGTGGTTTGTAAAGTTAAAGATGAATTACAATGGAAATATTTGTGAATTTTCTGAGATCATGGCCATAATATCATAGTAATGCTAAGCATTCACAAATATTTCCATTGTATTAATATCTATATAATGTATATAACATAATATATTAAT